TTTCATCAACAGCTACGCACACGCATGCATGCATGCACACAGGCACAGGTGAATTTTCGCACAGAAGATGACACAGATGGTCAAACTAATCAGCAAACACCCTCTGATTTTGTCTTGTTAGAGTGCTCAGCCTAAGCTTTGCAAGCACTCAACAATTACAGAATCAGCATCACACCCGAAAGTTACAACCATTTTCCTATGCCATAGGCAGCCTGCGCATTCCAGGACAGGTGCTACTTGTTTAAAAATTGATTATGATGCCTCATGATGCTGATTCAGTAATTACTCAGTGCTTGTTTTACTTTGGCTCTGCACATCAATTGGGATTGTTATAAACAAGAGAGTGTGAATATGAAGAGCTTGATTCTTGTCATTAATCATCATGGCCAGCAGGCTGAGAAGTCTTACAGTCAACCATCCTTCCTGTTCACGGCCTCCCAGATGTATGCCTTCCCATATGATATCACAATAATGTTGCATGGTTGGAGGGGAGCATACCCTGAGTACAGCAAAGTCCCCATTATGTGCAACAAAGCAAGATTCTTGCTGTGTTGGAGGAGTGGGTGTGATACCAGGGGATGTGCTTGTTAGGGAGTGCCTCCAGCAAAGACAGGCTCTGCAGCACATCTTCCTGATGGAGCTCTTGCTCCTGGTTCCTCAACTTCATCCTGATGCCAGGTCCAATCTACGTATTCAGGAAAATCGCCAAGTGCTGAACCACCCCAGCGGGACGGGTGGGAATACGCTCTTGTGATATGATAATCAATTTTGATGATTGTTTAAATATTGCGTTTGTAACGTCTAAACATCGTGAGCCTTCAACTGGTACTTTTCCTTGTGTCCACATGAGCCGGCTGAGCAGTGGCAGGTCCTGAGAGGGGATATAAGGGAGCTYAACAAAACTAGAATTAGCTTCTAGGGTGCCCTGTGTGGCCTGCTCTGACTCAGTCTGTTTGGGCAGTTAAGACATCACGGGCTGCCATTTCAGGTCCCCTATACTTAAACCCCGCGCCCCCAGACAAACCCAAACCTTAATTCGCTATTTACTTAGTCTCAAAATGTTGTTTTAGT